ATATGATTGAAGATTCCCTTTTCATCCTCCAATAGTTTGTTTAAATAAAATCTCGCTTGAACCGTCCAAAACCGTCTAAGAGTCAGTTACTTAAGATCGTGTACTGAACCGTTACCGGTTACCCTGTCCATACGATCGTTGGTTGCCTTTAGGAAACCTTCTACCGACATATGGTATATTGTAACCACAGACGTCTAATCTTGCAATTTTAGTCGGTTCCTTCAAAACCACCCGTCAGTTGGCCCGACTGAAATTCACTCCTGGCCCACCACTAGGACCACACCCTTTCCCTTTATTGGGCTAAAACCCTAATTTTAAATTTTCGTGCTCAACACTTGCCCCTCCCCTCCTGACTTCCAAATGTCATACCTTGATCGTCCTAAGATGGAATGTTTGGAAGTCTGAGACTCAAAGCAACAATGTGTAATCATTATGCCATTTCGAGTCCAATCACAACGTTTTACAAAAACCTTTTCCATCACAACAAATCACTTCCACTTCGTCATTTGCCAAACCCAATCATTCATCTTCCTCAACACGAATCACTTTTTCTTTGCCATTTGCAAATCCTAGTCCTTCGTCTTCCTCATCACAAATCACTTTCTCCATTCCGCGCTTTTATCCTCATGACCAACCAATACGTCTCTGCTCTTCCTTTTGATGGCTCTGATCCGGAAACTTCTTCTGTTCTTTCAGAGTGTTAGCCCCCACCATTCGTCCCTATTGTACAACCACCGAAGATGCGTCCCGAATGAGAGATATTCTCGAACAAGAAACCCCCTTACCATCAAGAATGTTGCCTTCAATCCTCATCGCCTTTTAGACACCATCAACCCTAAGGACAGCTTTTGCACCTGGCATTCTAGGCTACTTCCCCACTTCTATGAGCAATGGAAATACAAGGGGATTGACAAGGCCATTATGCTTTCCACCAAAGCACTTCACCTCCACGATAAAGTTTTGATAGCCATGGATGCTTTTTGGAATCAAGAAATCGGCGCCTTTCTCTTACCTGCTGGTCCCAAAGGTCCAACACTGATGGATGTGACCATGATCGCCCATCTCCCAATCATGGGTGAAGATCCAGTGGTCGGCTCTCTCAACGGTCAGGAACCCGCATCCGACCATGCTGGCTGGTCGTTGTCCAACATTCAAGACAGAAAGTGGACCAACTTCATAACTGACTTCTAAGGTGAATCTGGCACTCACGTGACTGACCGCGAACATACTGCTTTCATAGTATTTTGGCTCTATAGGTATGTTATTATTTTCTCCTCTAAGTGCATTCTTCCTTCTCACTTGGACTTAGCTATCCACATTGTTTCCGACCGGTTCTTCTAGATTGGAACCATTTTTCTTGCCAACCCTTTTGAAGGTCTATCCCGAGTCAGTGGTCTTCTTTCTGATGCCAAAAAATTAGATACGGCCGCCTCAGGCCCCTTTTGGTTTCTCGAACTTTGGCTCCGCGTATACTTCTTAACCGCCTTCTATGGCCGTCGGCCCATAAATCCAGGACCCAAACGTTCACTTTGCCTAACCTCGCCTCCATGTCCCCAAAGAGATCCAACTTAAAACCTTCACCCAATTATCCAACAAATTACTTTCGACAACCGTAGCAACTATTGCTTTTATGTCTATGAAAATTTTGTGCAATATACTACCAAACTCTTTTAGCCTTATCTACACATTAATTACTTTTTCCATACCCGGATCCATTACCTCATTCGACCTACCCCTTTTTTCTGGGATGCTGCCTTAAAACCGAGATCATTTTTTCCCAAAAAAAAAAAAATGAATAAAAAGGGAAACAAGTCCTTCTATACCTTTAACTACCAACCTCAATATCTGGCACGTCAGTTCGGCTGCGACCAAAGTCTTCCTAGTCCGCTTGCCAGTCCTCATTTGATAACCCAAAGCCCATATGGCCTTGTCATCCCCGAACTCATACAACCGTATCTGACCCAACTCTCAATCTATATTAGCTCTAATTTCTATCTACCTTTCAAAACATAACCTTAAACCATCAAACCCTTCAGAGAACCCTACATAGGCCTAACAATCAAACCCTACATGGGCCTTGCTTGTCCTGTCGTCCGACCAAATGCTGACGACCCTGACACTAACACCGACGCTAGTCTTATCCCGCCCTGTGCTAGTACCACGAAAAAGACAAGCGGTTGCCGCCAAAGCCAGCCCCAGCATCCAATCTCTCCCTAGCAACAATGAATAAGTGGTATGCGCATCTACATAAAGAAAACCGTAGATATCAATTTTGGCCCCACTTTTATTGGGGCCACCATCATGCCTTCTAGTTTGGTTGGGTGCCCAGTAAAACTTGTTATTTCAATATCCACGGGTGATAAATTAGCGGTTTCTTTGCTCAATCTTTCAAGAGTCTTTAAAGGCATAACATTAAAGACCACCCCATTGTCAATAAATATTTTACTAATTGGCTAATCACAAATATAAACATTGACATAAAAGAGTTTCAGATGAGGAACCATCCCTTCAGGAAGGGGAGAAAAAAAATCGGTGGACGGTTATTGGTTTCAAAATCCTGATTTGTTATTTTTGCCCATTCAGGTTCCTCCATACACTCATTCACCAAACTAGCCCAAATCGGCTCATCTTGTTTCCAGTGCATTCTTGACATCCCGACTTCAAAAGGGTATTGTCTGTTGACATGGCCTACCTAATTTTTCATAAGTGAATGAACTTTAGTGGCGAGAATGACCCGAAATGAACTCCTCGGCGATCTTCGTTGGTCTCTTTTATGATTGGATCTATATTGATTCGGTTACAATACTGAAACTTGTAACACTTTGCTTTCTTACTAGGCCTTTCTGGATTTTCCTTCTGAACGGTTATGTAATCCATAACGGTATCCAGAGATACTTTCCAGGTTCAAGCCCCGACGTAGAAAACTTTTTATTTTTAGAATTACGACAATACCTAGCAGTATACCTATGTTTAGCATTGCGAATCTAGGTACGATTCATACCTGGGAATCGAGGGTCGACATCCATTGGCAACGTCTTCCTATTTTGACTCCATTTGCTACTGATTGAACAAGGCTTCCTAGTCGGATGATCTCGGACTAACACCCGGTCTTTAAGTTCCACCTTGTAAGTTCTGTCGGGATTATCCCATTTTTCTACAACTCGGTCTTCACACAACTTGAAATTTTCCTTATGATTCTCCTATGGGGGCGCTCATTCTGTTGAACCCTTGTTCGGGAAAACCCCTATTGTGGCCATTGTCATTATTGGAAACGGTTGTTGTTCCACTCCCAATGTGATATATTTCAAACGTCCAGCTTTAATGTCCCTCTAAATTTCTTTCCGGAAGTGTGTGCATTGACCCCTACTATAGGTAAATAAATTTGTGCCATTTGCAATACGGCATTCCTTTGATATTTTCTTTCGTGGCAAGATGTTGGCCTTTAGGATTTCAGATTTGTCCATCTGCTAATAAAATATCAAAGATCTCGTCTGCCTTAGAACTTTCGAATGTCGGCTGATCCTTTCCTTCTATTCCTAGAATTGGTTTCAGCTTTGGGCAGACGTACGGTTCCCCACTGACTATCTCTGCTGCCATTTTTTCTGCTTCCACCGCCGGGTCCAAATTTGGGGAATATGATTATATTTCTATGTTGGCCATCTGCTGGACCTTGTTGTGCCGGAAATTCAGATATTTTTCTCTAAACAACGATTCTAAACGTCCAGCCTTAGATGCAAGACTGGCCAGATCCTCGACATCATGAGCAGTTAGCACCTCACGTAACCGTCTATACATATTTCGGACCACGAGATTGGTCATTTCTTTCTCCTCTATCACAGTCGGGCATCTACCCTTCATTAGACGAATTCTCTCTATAAACTGTGCAAAAGATTCTTCTGGAATTTGTCTAATTTCCAACAAATCAGTCAAAGATACCGTTGGAACAAGATTGAAAAACTTGGTATGAAAAGCTGCTTCCAACCCTTCCCAGGTATGAATTTGCCCTGGCTGCAGATTGACGAACCAAAAAAATGTTGTTTTGGTCAAAGATAAACCAAACAACTGTAACTTGTAAAAAATGTTATTTCCGATTCTCCCATTTGAGCCGTGAAACAACGTACGTGCTCAATAGTAGACGAACAATCCTCTCTAGAAAATACGTGAAAATCAGGTGGTCGATTATTCGTCGGAAGAGGATGTTCAATGATGATTCTCTCTGGGAATGATCGTTGATGTGTGGGTTAGTTGGTAACATGGGGAGCCATACCAAAATGGACCCTTAGGACGCGTGCAACATCATCTGGGTCCAATCTGAACGGATGGTGATCCGGCACCGGGATAGGATCACGTGCTTGCCCCCTGGTCGTTCCTCTCTCTGCACATTTGCAAAAGGATCAATCCTTGCTCCCAAAGGAATGTTGTTAGGATAAGTAAGAGAAGTTTTTCCCCTTTTTGCCTTACTAGGGGCGGTAGCACTTGGAATGGTGTTGTCCACGAAAGATGGCCCTGCAAAATTATCCTATAGACGCGAATGAGACATTCCTGGAGGCGTAGACATGGAATGCAAAGTGACCCTCGAAAGGGCTTGATCTAGCATATTCTGATTAAGTTTTGTTGTTCACGCAACATTGCTTGCATAACTGTTGTTTGCTGGTTGTTCCTTTGCTGAATACATGTTAAACATTCCTTTAGTACTTGTGTTGATGTCTGAGAAGCTCCTCTGTAGTCGGGATAGACAACGGAGTCGTTGTGGTGGCTCCGACAGTTGTGCTGAGACTTTGGGACTATGAACCCGCCATTAGGTTCTTTGCAACAATTCGACCAGATCGAAGTCGTATGTAGTTTCTTTTTTTTTTTTTTTGATCGGAGTCGTATGTAGTTTTCGTTGGACGTAAGATCAAAAATTTTGCCTCTTCTCCCACTGCCAATTTGTTGATATCGATTTTCAACAATAAAAAGTAAAATTCAAAAATATATTCCGAACTTGAAATAAAAGTGTGTCAGAGATCATAGATCCCTAAAACAAAGTACATAAAAACTAGAAAATGCACTAGAACTAAGAATTATAAAATGAGTGATCTCCGATAAGACTTTTCATGAGATGATTGAAGATCCCCTTTCCCTCATCCATTGATTTGTTTAAATAAAAACCCACTTGAACCGTCCAAAACTGTTTCAGAGTCGGTTACCTAATATCGTGTATTGAACTGTCGTCGGTTACCCTATCCACACGATCATCGGTTGCCTTTAAGAAACCTTCTGCCGACACGTGGTATATTATAACCACAGATGTCCGACCCTGCAGTTCCAGTCAGTTTCTTCAAAACCACCCGACCCAGCAGTAAAAGTCGGATGGGCTCTTCATCTGATGAACTGACCAAATATACCTGATAGCCTGTTGGTTTCCATCAGTCAATCCGACTGAAAATCACTTTTGGCCCACCATTGGGTCCACACTCTTTCCATTTCTTGGGTCAAAACCATACTTTTAAACTCTCGTACTTAACAAGTATATTACATACGTCTGCAGTCAAAAGACATACACCTAATGTACACGTAGCAATAATTTGTACTAACTTTATTATTATGGATTTCTTGACAATATTATTTTAGCACAATCTTTGAAGGTCTTATGAATGCAGATTTTAATGCACAACTTTGAAGGTCTTACAGGACTCCCAGCGCATGTATCATGAGATCTATCTTTAGGCCGATTGGGAGAGAGAGTTTGTTAGAGACGCTCTGGTGGCTGATGACGACGACGAGCATTTCAATTCCACAGATAATGTCTTGACGACACGATGACAGGGATCTCCAAATACAGAATTGGAGACACTTACGAAGCAGCTTTGCTTCCCAATGCAGGCCTAAACACAAAAGATTAAAACAACATTAATCATCCGGAAAGATCACTGGTTTTCCATGAGAATTTTTAGGAAAATAGAGCCTGGAAGATACCAAATACGAACCTGAGAGACCACAGAAAATGAATTGGGTGCGTGGCAATCGCCTCTTGAAAAGCTTTGGCAGCTGCCCTGTGGAGTTCCATAGCTAGCAAACTCGATTGAGGAGATTTTGCTTCCAGTTTCACAACTCAAGTGCATCTCAGGTGCTGTAGGATTGAGTGAAACTGTTCCATTGCTGGCATATGACCATGCGTGCAGAGGAGGAGCGTGATTCTCAGAGACTTTGGCACAAACAGTTTCGGTGAAATGTGACTCGATGGAAATCTTATGAGGAAGTTTATCACTTTCCTCAAAGATGACAAGCTGATTTCCAGATGGTCGTAGCCATGATCTTGGCACATGATACCTGGAAATTTGTAGGAAGTTAATGGGAAGAACACTATACATAATGAGCATAAATTAACATGCAGTGCTCTCATTCAAACCACAGTTAAACAGCTAAACTATTGTGGGTTTGTGGACAAGGATGATGAAAGAAGAATGTAATCTAACTAATAACCAAATGTAATTCATTCAAGTGCATACGCAAAGTGGGAAGATAGATCAGCAACCAGCAAGTTTTCAATAGTGAAGTTACCAAGATTGAGTTGGCTTTCCGCAATCTGTCACACACTTGTCGGAATTATATGTTCCACGATAATCGCAAGTCCGACATCCATCCTGTGGGGCATTTAAGATCCAGTATCTTCCAATGTGGTGACCGTTGACCCATGCCTGACCTTTTTCCATACTACTGAAGTCTAAGGAAACGGGGTCTATTCCGCTGGGGACATCAAAAGTCGTCTGGAAAATATACCACCATCATAAAACATGATGCTTACAGTCAAAAGCTTTATGTTATTAGAGACAAGAATAAATTACATTGAAAGATTTGTGTTAAATAACAAAGTGCATGCTATCATTAAAAAATCATAGTCTGAACACATTAAATCCACCATCAAGGCAAATAAAATACATGCATTTACTTTAAAAGTTAATGGTTGATTTAACTTACAGAAGCTTACAATTTTTAACATTTAATTACAGCAGCACACACATACCTAAAAACAATATGTAATACTCTAATTTTTAAATATAATTTATAAAGGTTTTAAATAAATTCTAGAGTAAAATTTATTTTTAAAGTTAATTATATTTTTTAATTTTAATTATATATACTATATAAATATAATATATATATAGAATTTAATAAATATATTTTCAGCTAGATTAGAATTTAATTAATAGTTTAAAAATACTTTCAATTTTATTATATCCAAACATATTTTATAAAAAATTGTTTTTATAAAGATTCATCCAAACATAAAATTAAACTGGTTCTACTTTTGGCTTCAATTTCTCATTTTGAGTTTTGCTTATTTTTAAAGTCAATTCAAACAGACCCTTAAATTTGTTGCTTGGTTTTGCATCAGATAATAATTGATCTCGGATTGGCATGGTATCAAGGATAATACATGGAAGGTTATTTGATGTCTAATTGGCTACATAAATAGCTGAATTTCTTAAAAAAAGATTGAGAGCAAACAAATATAATGTATGTACACATCTATCCACTTCCCTTGAATATAATCCAAGTTATACACTAGCAATTTATTGTCCTTCCTCACTTCTCTTAAGCTATTTGTTGAATCTAACAGAAGATAACCAATATTTATTCATTTAATGGAGTTACATACCCTTTTCAACCACTTCCAGTAACCAAACTATCATATGAAGACAATTTTTGCAACCATACTATGCAAGTCTACATTCTCAGCATGTATAAGCCCAATAAACCACTGATCTAAATGAGAATCAGTAATATAATGAACATAAAATAATATGCTTTAATTCAAATAATCACATGTTTGTTGTTTCCAAATATCACATGAAACAGCCAAGATAACAATAAGTGATTTCTTAACATCCTTGAATCATTACCTTGTACCAGGAAAACCTGGTTGGAACTGCATCAGATGGCAATGGATTCCATTCTGTACAAACTTTTTCATTAATGGAAAAGTATTTTAGGGCTTCCCCCTTAAGTCCAACCTGCAATGAAATTGCAACACTTCAGCCTAGATCATGATTTTTCTTTAGCAGATAATGAGAAGTATATGCAGAGTGGAATTTAGTCTAGTGAAATCTATGTCCGCCTAATTTATTTGAAGTCGTTTAAGATTCAGTTCATCAAGTTTATTGTCATGTTAATAACTGTACCATGCAAGAAAACTTAGACAATTGAAGGAATGGAAAGTTTTTAATTTCCTAAAGAATTTTCAATGTCTTGTACTTAATTTGTGAGAACATATAACAAAAGGTGAAATCATGTTTAACAATAGGTGTAAGGCATCGTGCTTGTGTCATGTGAATCCAGAGAACTAGGGTGTTTTAACTTTGATCTTTTTTCTTCCTGTTCAACTTTCATAATTCCCAATAATAATAAATTATTCATCTTACAAAACATCATAATAAAAATACTATTTAAACCAAAATTCATATCCAAACCCCAAAACAACAAGCAATGTTGTGGGACAAATTCCAAGATTATAAAACCAATTTTGACGCTTTGCAGTTAGTTTATTCATAAATCCCATCAGTATTGCACATTAAGAACTGCAGGATCATTAATCAACTCTAAGGACCAAGTCAATGGAAGAGAAAAGGAGCCTAATAACCGCAGATTCCAGTACCATGGCAGTATATGTGGTGGCATCCAAGGCTGTAAAAGAAGATATTAGGATTAGGAAGTCCTTGGTTGAACTTCAAGTGGTTCCTAGTACAGCAGATCTGTTGCCAGTTTCTTTTTCTTTCTTTGTTCTTTCTTTTTTATTTATACTTTCTTTTTATATTATTATTATTATTACTATTTTTGACAATAATAGAGCTATAGCACTGGCTAAGGAAATGAGGTTTCACAACACATCCAAACATATTGAAATCACATCATTCAAGAAATCTTGGAAATGATGTAGCCATGCAAAGTGTAGATTCAGTAGAAAAAGTGGCTGACCTACTTACCAAGCCATTGTCTCAGGCATCATAACAGAGACATGTTAATAAGATGGGTGTTTCCTATCATGCCGATTGGTGATGTGTGCAATTGGGAGATTGTAAGATTTCCCTCACTACCAATGAGGAAGCTATGATTTTGTGTAACCATAACATTTTGGTATAGGTACTTTATGAACAACTTAAGTTATTTCATCGATAGAAGGTATTTGAGATATATTGTAGATAGATATTTTGGTTAATATCCTCTCTGTCCAGTAATTTTCGTTGGACATAAAAACTAAAAAATAATGATATTTTAATATTAAAGTGAGGTGATAAAAAGTGAATTGAGGATATTATAGAAAATTTATTAAATGATTGATAAAAAAATAATGGAGTGAATAAAGTGAATTTTATTATTTGTTAAAAAATGAATTGGAATATAATTGTTTACTATAAATGAATTGAGCATAAGTTTAACGGACAACCAAAAAATGAAAAATGACATAATTTTGACAGACTGAGGGATTATTATTTAAAGTTGATAGTTATTATTTAGAAATATTTATTAGATTATATTGTTATTATTTGAGTCTATTCCTTTTGTATTAGGTCTATAATAGATTCTAATTTCATTATTAATATACAACTTATAAATTCTCTCAAAAATATAATACAGTATCATAGTCACGCTTTCTCCGGGTACAACCAAAATGGCTCTCGAACTTAAGTTCTACTACCACTTGAAAAATATATAACCCATTCTAATTAGTGTTTTCATCATTTTTATGATGCATTTTCCCTTGCATTACAGCCACCATATTTCTTACTCTAAGACGATACTGGCCACCAAAAGTTGTTAGAAATAGTGCATGTGAGCTATCCATGTCGGCCACAATCGGTTAATGAGGTCAACAACTTTGTTGTTGTGGACTCCAGGTGCGTGTGAAGATGCGCCCAGTGTCTGATTACTAGAATTTTCTAGAGAAAACCTACTAAGATACTTCTGACCTATATGTCGACTTGTTTTTAGTTTTACCAACTTTTTAGTTTGGTCTTCAATTATCTATTCGAAGTTTATGCCTATTAGAGTTTAATTTCTAGGGTCTAGTGTTGCCACAACGATAGAGGTTCACCGGTACTGCCACCGCGATAGAGAATCGCCGCCATGAGAAATCCTAATTTTATGTTGTTGTAGCGGTAGAGGATCATTGCTGCTGCCGCCGTAACAGAGAATCATGGCCATTGAAAATCCTAATTTGACTAAACCTTTAATTTTTTAAAGCTTAGTATCGCCACTGCGACATATGATTACTGGTGTATTCTGCGACAAAGCATTGCCTCCATTAGAAACTTTAATTTGGTCAAATGTCTAATTTCTTCAGGTTTAGTGCCACCACCACGATAGAGAATTAGTTTGAATGCTCCGAAAATTAATGCTCAGTTATAAAGTCTGTCCATATTCAAACTCCACCTATGGTTTCTTTGGCCAAGCTCAGGCATATATTCGATTATTATTTAAGTTTATCCCTTTTGTATCGGGTCTATAAATACATCCTAACTAATAAACAACTCAAAAATTCTCCCAAAGATGCAAGAGAGGTGTTTTATTTGTTGCCTATTCATGTTGGCATTTAAATATGTGAATAAATAGAGCTTAGTTCATTTCCTCACACCACCAAACTATTTTTTCAGAAAATACTTCTCCGGTTAGTAAGAAGCTTTTTTTCTTTTAAGTCCAAGACTCCACAGATGGAACTTCTGAACTTAACTGAAGTCCTTTGAGAGCAAGAGAATGAATCTTAAATGGAGATAAGAAATGAAGTGGGAGATTTTGATAGAACTTATTTAGGGTGACACGTCCACTAAATGATAGAAACTTAGCTTTTCAACCATTTAACTCGCTATCCAATTTATTCATGATAGGAAGCTATACTAAAACTTGGTTTCTCTTGGTTGCTATGAGATTGCCAAGATATGGGAAGGAAGAAAGCCTGCTAAGCAATTGATTGCACTAGCTGACAGCGTAGGGACTTTTGATGCTGAAAAGAATGCTCTTCCTCAGATCAACTTTGAGAGTGAAGGATAGCTGAAAGGATTCACTTTATGGCATAAGAGATTCCAAATCAGCCTCACAAAAAACAATTGTGTTGTTAGAAACTAGGCGTGAGATAACACACCCAAAATGCCACATCTAATCACTTTCACAAACCCTTTTCCACTGCCTTGTCCTAGTATTTCTCCAAAAAATTTGAACAAATAGAGTGATAGAGGATCAAATTGACAGAGACCAAATTTTAAAAATTGAAAGACCAAACCGTTCTGTTATAACTTTTAGTAACAAATTTCATTTTAAATCTCAATTAAATACAAAAAGATAATATATCTATGTAAAATACTCCTTCCATCCCGGAACAATTGACGTGTTTGGTTAGTGACACAGTATTTAAGAGTAATGCAGCTAGTAACTTAATGATAGTAAATTATATTATTTTATTAATTTTTATGTGAGTGGTGTTGCTGGTACTTTTTAAATAAGAATTAATATATATAATTAAAAATTTTAAAATATGTGTTCAAATATTTTACACTATATCTCAATAAAATATATAATATGTATATCATTTGGTAGAAAATAAAATTTTATATAATACAAATAAATAAAAAATATATTTATTTATTTATGATTAATATAAAGAAATTTATATTTATAAAATATGTTCAAAATAAATAAATTTATTAAAAATATAAACATGTCAACTGTTATGGGACAACCTAAAATAGAAAACACATCAACTGTTATGGGGAGCGGGCGGAGCGGAGTATTTAGATAATACTCAAACACATAGTATGAGTAGCAGTACAAAGTATACTAAAACATTATAACAGTTACACACTGATAGTGGACAATATATATATTTATATATCTTATATATATGTCTATATGCCTGTGTGTAAGAGTATATTTTTCAATATCATATACCACCATTCATATCCAATCATTATTTGAAGAAAAAGGGCACACATTTTAAGAGTTCTCCAAGATTAGCAGAGATCGGGATGCTATAACCTGAATTTATTCTCACTAATAAAATTGTCATAGAAATGCACTAAAAGAACCACGTATACACAATACAATTGTATCCTTCTGTAAACTAAAAGCAAGAATCACTTGAGTAACACAAAAATAACCTGGTAGGTCCACATAGCTTTTGTAAGATCAAGATTTCCATTTTTAAACCCTGTAATCTTAATTTCACCTCTGAAACCTGCTCCATCCTTCTCAAGGAAGGCGCCATAATTCTGAACCAGAGAAGATGACCAGAGTTAACTCATAGGAATTGGAATTATGAGACCGAATCTAATGGTTAACATATTGAGAGAAAATGCAGATGACTGATGATCATTAACTCAAATAAAATGGAATGAAACATCCCACAGTTCAAGGGATTCAATTACCACAAGAGTTCCTTCGCTGGTGACTTTAGTTCCTATCTAAATTTGTTCTAGACATACGTCATTTTTGCAGAATTTTTAATGTTTGGTTATCTAGCATGCAGCTATAGAATTCAGAAAATTTTGCTAGGCAGGCTGTTAAAATATTTTTATTATCAACAAATAATAAAAGTGTGAAGTACATAACCTGCAAACCCACTGTTTCAGATAGCAGTGTAATGTCATTCTGTCCTTGGATGAGCTCAACAGGTTGAACTACCTTCTTCCAATTTCCTTTTGCACTAGCTTGAATTTGAGAAATATTACATATTCCAAAAAGTCAAAGATATTACAGAACTGAAACGTAGCATAATGAGACAAACTTCAATTAAAAAAAAAAAAAACGAACAGGAGAACATGTTACATAGAGTTAAGTATGTCATGTGATCATGACATTGGAGAAATCATGTGATTGGGACCCACCACATTTGGCTGTATGGGAGATTGTATTTTGAATTGTGGAAAAATATGTGAATCAATTTATTTTAGGAAACAAATGTCTTGTTTCCTTTGTACATCTAGTGATCCCATGATTCATGGGAGAAGATAGAGGATGATCCCATGATATAGTTTCTTTCTATTTTTATTAGGATTATTTTTGTATATAAGTCTTCCTATCTTTGTATGTAAAATGATTCAGTTTTGTGATAGAATTATTCTTCTTCTTCATTTGATTTTTCTATTCAAAATCTGAGATGGTATCAGAGCAGCTCTTTCTTGGGAATTGTTCTTGATTCTACTAAATCTCTTTCCTCCGTTCGATCAGCCTTAATTGCTGAGTTTATTTTGGACTATTTCTCAAAGTTTATTAGTCCTAATCACCGGAGGCTGCGAGTTATAATATGTCAGACCTAAACCATGTTGGACAAGTACTCATCGCTGCTGCACCACAAAGTGAAGAGCTGATGGCCTTAATTGGGAAGAAATTGAGAGGTCAAGGTCTCTAATCAACCGTCTTGAGAAGCCTTCAAGTACTTGTTCACTGGTATATTCAGGTACATTTCCTATTTCCATTGGATTAAATACTTCAGACACACTATTTACCAATTCTTGGATCATGGACTCCGAAGCCACCGATCATATAATCCACTCATCTAAATACTTTTCAACCTATACCCCATGTCCTAGTAGCCGGAAAATAGCCACAACTAATGGATCTCTAACAACCGTTGCAGGAGTAGGAGATGTTCTAATAAACCCTGCCATGACCCTTAAAAATGTCCTTCATGTCCCTAAATTATCCAACAATCTTGTTTCTATACAAAAGCTTACCCAAGATCTATCATGCAATGTGGTTTTTTATAGTAGTTGTTGTGTATTTCAGGATAAAGTTTCGGGGAGGACGATTGGACGTGCTAAGTAATGGACAACCTTTATTACCTTGAGATGCCAAGACAGTTGAACTTGGTCAAGAGTAAGGGTCTAATGTCAGAAAGTTGTTTATCCAATAAAGAGAAAATTCATCTTTACCATTGTCGTTTAGGACATCCATCATTTAAGGCTGTTAAAATCTTGTTTCCCACCTTGTTTTCGGATTTAAGCGTTGAGGAATTTCAATGTGATGTGTGTGAACTCGCCAACCATAAGCGAGTGCCTTTTTCTCATTAGTAATAAAAGAAGTTTTGTTCCTTTTCACCTCATTCATACTGATATATGGGGTCCTTTTACTATTCCTTGTGTCTCTGGAGCACGATGGTTTGTTTCTTTCATTGATGTTTGTACCCGTGTCACTTGGTCGTTCCTCTTGAAGTCCAAGTCTGATGTTAAACTGTTCTACCAAATTTTTGATCAATGGTCAAAAATCAATTTGGGGTCTGTGTCAAGAGATTTAGGTTTGACAATCCCAGGGGTTATTTCAACCAAGTCCTCACTCATTAATTTCAAAATAATGAGATTATTCATGAGTCATCTTGTGTGTATACTCCACAACAAAATGGAGTAGCTGAGAGAAAAAATTGTGACCTTGAGAAGACTCGAGCAATGTTGTTTCAGAATGGTGTCTCTAACCTTTCGGGGAGAAGCAGTTCTTACAGCCACACATCTCATAAATCGTTTGCCTTCTCATGTCTTGTACCACAAAAGTCCAATGGAAGTTCTCTCATCCTTTTATCCCGACTTAAGAACCACAAATAATCTTGTTCCTAGAGTCTTTGGGTGTGTGTCTTTTGTTCATATACATGGTACAAATAGGGGAAAATTGGATCCTAGAGCCCAAAAATGTATCTTTGTAGGGTACTCTTCCACTAAAAAATGATACAAGTGTTATCATCCTCCATCCAAGAAATTCTCTGTGTCAATAGATGTCACATTAAGAATGAATCTTACTTCACTAGATCTTTATCTTCAGGGGGAGAACCCATCTCTGGAAGATAAAGATCAAGAAGGTTTCTTTCTAGATCCTCTTAATCTCTCTACTAGTCCTCTTTTGCCTAAACCTACTCCTAGTGCTCCTCCTCCTGTTCCTTTGCATGAATCTGCTCCTGCTGCTGATCCTTTGTCTGCTCCTGCTGCTCCTATTGGTCCTGATATTGCTAAAAGACTTGATGAAGACATGAGGTGTGCAAGAAAATACAAAAGGAAGGGAAGAAAGGCTGTCCCAGAACCAGCAGGAATCCAAAAGTCTAACCCGGAGCCAGTAACTGAGGTAATAACTTCTGATCCGAACTCACATGTTGAAGTTGATAATATTTATCAATCCATTACCAAGACTGAAACACAAGGTGAACCAGTTGTTGATAATGAATCGAATTTACCCATTGCTGTTAGAAAGAAATCTAGAGAGTGTAGAAACAGGCCTTTGTATCCTCTAGCTCAATCTATCTTTCAAGAAATTTTTACCACCTCACAGAAGCTTTCTTGCTAACCTAAACACCATCCCTATCCCTACTAGTGTGTCTCAAGCTATGTCTAATGCGAACTGGAAACAAGCTATGGATATAGAAATGGAAGCATTGAAAAAGAACAAAACCTAGGAGTTGGTAAAGTTACCTAATGGAAAAAAAAAATAGTGGGTTGTAGATAGGTCTATACAGTCAAATACAAGGCGGATGGAACAATTGAACGATATAAGGCGCGATTGGTGGCGAAAAGATATACACAGACTTATGGGATTGATTATCTAGAGACTTTTGCTCATGTTGCAAAAATGAATACAATAAGAGTCTTGCTTGCGGTTGGTGCTAACTATGGATGGGACCTGCAACAATTTGATGTTAAAAATGCATTCTTACATGGGGATCTAGAGGAAGAGATTTATATGGAGGTTCCACCGGGTTATGATAAGAACTTGGATGCTCACACCGTGTGTAAATTGAAGAAGGCTCTATATAGACTTTTGCAAGGGTTATGCTGGCTATGGGGTATAAACAGAGCCAAGATGATCATACACTGTTCATTAAACATTCTCCTTCAGGGGGAGTCATAGCCCTACTTCTGTATGTTGATGACATAGTGATAACAGAGAATGATGATGAATAGAAGAAAACATTGAGTTGGTGGAAAACTGAAGTATTTCATTGGAATTGAGGTTGCTCATTCAAAACAAGGGATTTTTATCTCCCAAGAGAAGTATGTTACAGACCTTCTTAATGAAACAGGCAAGACAGCATGCAAACCAATGGCTACCCCAATGGACCCGAACCTCAAACTTGGGACAACAGATGATGAAGCTGCAGTAGACTCGAAGATGTACTAGCGATTGGTAGGGAGACTCATTTATCTCTCCCACACGCAATCGGATATAGCATTTGTAGTATGTGAGATCAGTCAATTTATGCATAACCCAAAAGAGGTTCATTTGCAAGCAGCCAATAGAGTAATACATTATCTCAAAGGAACACCAGGAAAAGGTATTTTATTCAAAAGAAATGGAGGTTTAAGACTTGAAGCATACACTGATGCAACTATGCTGGGTCTATAGTTGATAGTAGGTCAACATCGGGATATTGCACTTTGCTTGGGTGAAATATTGTGACATGGAGGAGCAAGAAACAAAATGTGGTAGCTCGATCAAGTGCAGAAGCAAAGTTTAGGGCAATAGCTCTAGGTGTTTGTGAGCTACTTTGGTTAAAGATTATTCTTGAAGACCTAAAAATTAAGTGGGAAGGGCCTATGAGACTATTGTGACAACAAGTCTGCAATCAGCATAGCTCACAATCCGGTGCAACATGACCGGACAAAACATATGAAGTGGATTGATTTGCACACCTTACGTGTCAACAACCGGTCAACTAGCAGATATTTTAATAAAATGATTGAATAACTCAATGTTTCAACCTATTGTATCCAAGCTCGTAATGGAAAATATCTATTCACCAGCTTGAGGGGAGTGTGGAAAAATATGTGAATCAATTTATTTTAGGAAACAAATATCTTGTTTCCTTTGTACATCTAATGATCCCATGATTCATGGGATAAGATAGAGGATGATCCCATGATTCATGGAATAAGATATAGGATAGTCCTTTCTATTTTTATTAGGATTTTTTTTTGTAGATAAGTCTTTCTATCTTTGTATGTAAAATGATACAGTTTTGAGATAGAATTTATGTTCTTCTTCATTTGATTTTTCTATTTAAAATCTGGATGAATATCCTAATTCTTACCATACACAACATACATATATTTATAGAAGATACACCTCACACACTAAGTAAATCACAATTCACAAACCTAGTATATCACAACACTAATAAATGTACTCAGTCTCGTAACACTCGCATTCAAGTTGAAGCATACATATCATAAGCTCCAAGCTTGTTACAAATGTATCGCGCTTGTGATCCTCCCAAGGCCTTCATAAGTTGACCCGTGGACTGGATGTAAGGGACTTGAATGAGACCTTCATGCAGCATTTCATGTACAAAATAGCAATCCACTTCAATATGTTCAGTTCTCTCATGAAAAATTGGATTTGTGGCAACATGAATCGCCATTGTCTCACATTAATTCCACAAAGGATGGATCTCGGAAACCAACCTCAGTGAGAAGGTTCTTTAACTAAACTAACTCACAACTTGCATATTGCTCAATATTCGGATTCTGCAATAGAACGGGTAACTACAGTTTATTTCTTACTTTGCCAATATATAAGGTTTCCACCAAGAAACATACATTAACCAGAAGTAATCTTCGATCATACAATCCTACACAATCTGCATCACTATATACCTGTACTGGGAATGACCATGATTTTTACATAAAAGACCCTGTCCTAGTGTTCTTTTCAGGTACCGCAATGTGTTCAAGGTGATTACAGTATCCAAATATGTTGTTTGAGGTGATTCCATAAATTTTCTGACAAAACTTGTCAGAAAGGAAATATATGGGCCAGTGACTGTTAGATAATTCAAGTTTCCAACGAGTCTACGATACTTTTTCTGGATCTTTGAAACATTTTTCTGTTTTCTGCATCAAGTTTAACATTTGGCTCCATAGGGCTCAGCCAGCTTTGCACCAAGTAACATGGTTTCCTTCAAGAGATTCAGAACATACTTGGGCTGAGATAAACAAATACCCAACTTGAAGTAAGAAACTTCAATGCAAAGAAAGCATTTTAGTCGACCAATATCCTTAGTTCGAAACTTTGTATGAAGGAAAGATTTCAATGATTGAATTCCTTATACCACCGGTGATCAGAATACCATTGACGTAAATGATTAACAGAATTCTCCCAGCATCAGTGTATTGAGCGTGAAATGATGGGTCTTAGTTTGATTGCCCTTTCGTGATCGAATGGAATGCTTGCGGCTCAAGAATCAGTGCTGTTTTGATTCTAGATCGACAGCCCCTTTCCTATTTCAGCAAACAATTAGATGATCGAACTCTCATCAGGCCTGCATATGAATGTGAAATGATGGGTCTAGTGTTAGCGGTGCAGCATTGGGGCCCCTTCTTACTGGGGCGTGTCCTACAGGAATAAAGATAGAATTCTGATGCAATTGAGTGAATTGGAAAGGATGTGACTAACGATGCCTTAGAGGAGAAGGAGCATGAGGATTACATCTAGGGCATTGTGAATCAATAGTGCAGCTGCCGACAGTCGCCAATGGTATGATGTGGAAAGCTGTTAGATTATTCTTTAAGGGCCTTCTAGTGCTACCTGGAGATCCACACCAGATTCTACGTCTTTTATATGAGTTTCATTAACACCCTGTACATTGGAGAGGGCATGTTTAGGTACATACACATAGCACAACGCTTATTGTGCCAGAAAGTGAAATATCAGGCTATGTCTCTAGCAGGCTTACTATAACCCTTGCCGATACCTGATCATATTTGGGGGATGTTTCCATGGGTTTAATCACCTATTTGCCGAAGTCATGAGGATACATGTCAATCATGGTAGTTATCAACAAACTATCGAAGTATGGACACTTTATTGCCCTGAAACCACCGGTGGTTGTCGAAAAACTATCAAAGTATGGACAGTTTGTTGCTCTGAAACCACCGGTGACCGCCCATACAGTCGTGGAGGCATTCGTCCGAGGAATTGTTCTGCTGCATGATCGTGATCCTTTATTTGTTAGTGTCTTATAAAAGTAAATATACACCCTCAAGAACCAAAATTCAGCTTCTCATACCATCTCTAGGAAAATGGCCAAACAGAGGTATTGAACCAAATGGTGGAGACATATCTTCAATGTTTACTTGTGACAAAACAAAATAGTGGGTGCATTGGTTGCATGTGCAGAATTTTGGTACAACATTGCCTTTCAAATGGCAGATGTCCCCATTCGAGGTGGTCTATAAGAGAGAGCCATATACCATCGAAAATTCTTGCAAGAGGAGTGTCAAATAGCAGTTGTAGGATAGGAAGATGTGTTGAGTAGTCGGGATGTAATGATAAGCCGCCTTAACAAAATGTAGAGCATGCCCAACAACAAATGACCAAGTAGACCAATGGGCAATGTCAACCGTGGAGCATAGAGTGCGCGATCGTGATTGTTTAAAGTCCAGCCCCACCGATAGGAATCCGTAGTACAAAAGCTACACCATAAGTTAGCTGTCTGTTTCTACAATTCCTCTATGGTAGAAGATTGTGCAGGCTCGGTTGTATACAAGCTTATTTACCAGCCTCTAGCTGGATTCATCATGTATCTCAGTTGTGATGCGTAGTAGGAGAACACTAAATGGAGTTGGAATTTCTGGATAGCCTAGAGTTTCCAATAAGTCCAAATCTTAAACCCAAAACCACTTTAGCTTGGCCAACAAGACAAAGATCAAATTTTGGTTAAGTGGGTGGGACATCCAGACGATAAGGCAACTTGGTTGAGCGTGGCCCATTTCTAGCATCAGTTCCTGGACTTTGACTTTTAGGACAAGGTGAATTTGAAGATTGAAGAATTGATAGAGAGCAAGAGCAAGAGGGAGAGGAGCCTCAGCCATTACTTGTGTATCAATGACATGATCGCGCTTAGGCTTGTTGTTTGTAGGTTTAGGCTTTAATTAGTTTGATTTTCCATTATGATATTATATTGTGGGTTAAGCTTGTCATTTGCTTCTTGAATGGGCTTATTTTTATTCTAGTAAGTCTTAGTAGTACCATTTAATCAAGAGTAGCTAGGGTTTGGGAACTTTACACATGATCATGGAAATAAAGTAGCCTGGGGACTTTTGGACAAACGGTTGATTCTGTTTTATTGTTCTTATTGCTTTTATGTTGTTCTATTAAGATTTCTTTACAATGTTTGTCCCAAAGTTCCAAATTCAACAAAAATACAACATCCATTGATTATTAAGAGACACTCACCCCAATAGTGGCAAGAAGTCCTTCCATAGGTGCAAAATTTGAAGATAATATCTTGTTGAAGATCACATTCCTTGCTTTTTCACGAGTCCCATGGGATTTCTTTACAATGTTTGTCCTAAATTTCCCAATTCGATGAAATTGACAATAGCTGCATCCAAACTAATGAAAGACTCACCTAGAGAGTGCTTCCATATAAGAAATGAAAAAAAAAAATATCTTCTTGTTGAATAGGACTCTATTCAATGCTTTCCATAAGTCGCATATGATTGCTTTAGAATGTTTATTCCAAATTTCCCAATTTGATGCAAATGAGCTGCATCCATTAATAGATGAGAAGCTCTCCCCAGAGAGTTAGTAAGTGCTTCCATATAAGCAAAATTTGGGACAATGTAGAAAGAGAAGCGACACTGGTTATAATTTGGTGGGTGAAGAGATTAAGAGAATTAGAATAGACGATGAAAAAGATATGAACAAACAAACCTAACACCCGAAAATTTGAACAATTAATATTTAATATTAATTAATCCTCTAATATGTCTAAGTGTATGCATACAATGGTATTTGCCACCAATATTAACCTATAGAGTATGTCTGTACATACATATATGGAGAGTGAAAGAGAGAGAGAGAGTATAAGGAGATTAGACACTAAATTATACCTTGAAATTGGCCATTAACAAATATGCAGACTGCATCGCGCATGCTGTCAATGGAAATCACAGGAGCAACCTGAGTCTCTTTCCAAAATGAAATATCCTCTTCAGAAATGTGTATTCTGCATGTCATCATAGAAATGTTTTCTTTACAGAGGGAAAAACAAAAATGATTGATTTTGAGGTGTGGAGAATATTAGAATATAAGTGTGAGAAGATGTGATAATAAGAATGCAGAATGTCCTTTGCAGATATGACCAAGCCAACTAAAACAATGTTCAAGCTTCACAATTTTCAATAAAGAAGAGCCCGGCATCTTGTGCCTGTTTCTGAACATACATATATCCTGAGTATATTACACCCAAGCATGTTGCTCATTGTGTGTTTTATAAAGTTTTATATTGTATTCTTGTTGTAGTTATATTGCATATCACAATTGTATCTTGTTATTAATGCTAAGATTATGTGTGATAGGAACAATTTCATAATAACGGGGACTTGTCTCCCTAGAACTAGCCGTCTATTTCATGTATATATATAGGTCTAATGGAATCACAATGAAATGAAACATTTTTTCCTTGTAACTATAAGATGGCATCAGAGCTCCTAATCTTTGGGAGCCTCTGACCGTGCCTGGAAACACTAAGTCGCAATCTTTATTGCATCATGACCTTGAGCCATATTGAGCCTTCACTACAGCACAATCGAATCTATCTTGATTGCATCCATCTGTGATGGCTGAAATCAAGAACCCTGTTCTAGAAACTGGTGACAGATCTCAGACCACTGGAGAATTGCAGAACATTCATTCTACTAATCAATAAAACAGACAAAATTACCTCAAATGGTTTCAACTCATTAGTACCATCTTAAAAAGAAAGGAAAGGTCAATCACCAAACTAACAACACCACTAATGAAAAAGAAGATGCTCAGTTCAAATAATGGGATAACAAAAATTCCATGATCATGGTATGGCTGTGGAATTCAATATTCCCAGAAATTGAATAAATATGTGTGTTCCTTGTTATATATTGTTAAATATATGTAAATATATATATATTTGGGTCTAATTGTATATAATGGACCTAGCCCAAAATAGTAGTCCAAAGTAGGCTAGATTAATGTACTTATATTTATATGTAAATTAGTTTTGTTTCATGAAATAAGATATTACGAAGTTTACATGGTATCAGAGCGCGATTAACTTGGGGTTTAGAATCGGAGGTTTGGAGGCTAATTTCATCATCGGAGTTTCTGCCGTCGAGCATCGTCATCGCCGGAGTCAAAGTCGTCTCTGTCAGCCGCCCGTCCATCCATCCGCTGCCCCACACCTTCTTGCGCGTAGCGTGATGTGTTCTAGAGACAGGTTAATTGACCTGTCAGTCCCTTCGCCGCCGCGAGTTTTCTCTCAGACTCTGGATAGTAATAGGTTGGCTGCATGATTAATCTTTTGGTGCAATTTCGGGGCAATTCTAATACACCTTTGGGTGCAAGTTTGGTGTTTTCATAATGGGGGATAAAAAGATACATTTAGGGACAAAAAATTGTATGGGTTGAACTATCTTGATGGAGTACCTATTATTCCGAGAATCACAGAGTACAAATTGTATGGGTTGAACTATCTTGATTGGTCTAAAACTATCAAGATGTATCTAAGGAGTATTAGTAAAGCTAATCATCAAGACAGAGGCCCTGTCTTAGCTACAGACCCCAGACCCCTGCTCTTATGATTGCTTTAGGGATGATTCCAGATTATTCCTTCAAATCAAGAATTCAATTAAGTCTGACATAGTGAGTTTAATTATTCAGTGTGATACGGTTAAAGAGTTGTTTGAATACTTAGGCTTCTTATACTCTGGGGAATGAAATGTTTCGCATATCTATGATTTTTGTCAGAACTTTTATCGGGCCGAATAGTAGGATCAATCACTTCAGGCATATTAGCCAAAAGAACTTATGAAAGAGTTAAATATGCTGATGTTGTTTAGCCGTAATGCGCGTGTTCAACAACAACAAAGAGAACATACGGCGGTGATGAGTTTTTTGACCGGTCTACACTCTCGCTTTGACAATGTGCAGTCTCAATTACTTACTACTTCTGATGTTCCCCATTTATCTACAATGTTTCAGTGCCTGAGTACATTGGGACTTTTTCCCCTACTCCTGTACATACATGCATTGGTTAGCCAACAGGACATTATTTCCTCCCGTCAAGCTAGAGGAACTCATCAAGTACTCATGATACTTCCACGGGTGGGGGCATCATTTGCTATTATTGTCATGAGTCTACATATTAAGTGATTTTGCAAGAAGTTGAAGAATCAGAATCAAAAAGTTCATACAAAAAATGTGACTACATCCGACAATAAGCCTCACATGGTTACTATTTTTTACGATGAGAATGCCCAGCTTACTGTGTCCCAAGACAACTTGGTGAATTCATCTCAATCAATCAACACCACAACTGAATTTGCTAATGCAGATAAGTGTCTTATTTCTCTTTTTCCAAGTGAGTCATTGACACTGGAGCAACTGACCATATGACAAGTAACCCAAGCCTTTTATCATCTATTTCTTCTAGCTATTCATCTGTTACCCTTGGGGATGGGTCTAGTGCACAAGTTACTGGGGTTGGGGTCACTAATCCTAAACCATTTCTTTAGTTTCATTCTGTGTTACTTATTCCTGGCCTTGCGTTCAATTTAATCTCTATTAGCAAACTAACTCAAGCCTTAAACTGTTGTGTCTCATTCTTCCCCAATCATTGTTTGTTTCAGGACCGTGTGACGAGGAAGATTATTGGTAAATTACACATGTCAGAGGGGCTTTATACCCTTTATATCCCTGCATTAGTTGAGTTTGATTCTCGTATTGCATGTTCTGGTACCCACACTCCCTTTGAAGTTCACTTCCAATTTTGTCATCCCTCCCTATCCTTGCGGAAGGAGTTACACCCTGAATTTCATTATATTAAGTCTTTAGATTGTGAGTCATGTCAGTTTACTAAGCTCCATCGCCTAGCGTTTGTTCCCCGGTCTAATAAAAGGTCAAGTAGTCCTTTTTAATTAGTTTATTCTGATGTTTGGGTCTTTGTCCTATATTGTCAAAACCGGACTTTCGGTATTTTGTTACTTTTGTGGATAATTTTTCTCGAATGACATGGATATATTTTATGAAATTTCATTATGAGGTCTTTTCCACTTTTCTGCCTTTGTGTTGAAATTCAAACTCAGAACTTCTCTGAACAATCAACACCAGTTTTCGCGTGTTGACTCAAAATATTGTATCTGAGCGCAAAAACCGGCCTCTCCTCGAGACTGCCTGTGCTTTTTTATTCCAAACGAAGTTTCTAACATGTTTTGGGCGGATGCTATCTCTACAGCTTGTTTCTTGATTAATCGTTTGTCATCATCCATTTTGAGGGTAAAACACTTTATCAAACTCTCTTTCCGTCAGTCTTTATTTCCTTTTTCTCCTAGAGTTTTTCGGTGTCTATGTTACGTTCGGGATGTTCAACCACATATCCCTAAACTCGATCCCAAGTCCCTCAAGTGTCTCTCGTGTTCAGAAAGGTTATTGATGTTACTGTTCGGATCTTAACCGCTATCTTGTCTCTTTGGACGTAGCCTTCTTTGAATCTACTAGTTTATCCTTAGATTCTAGTGCTTTTACTCCCCTTTCAAACAATGATTAGTTGGTTTATGCTGGATCTCCACCTCCAGCTCCGCCTACTTGGTCTAAGGCTCTTACTCCATATCAAACTAACTATTTTCCACACGTGTAATGTTGTCGTCCCATACCCTCTCTGCCGTGCTCTGCACCAATCCCCTCCTCATATGCAGTTCCTGCTCCGTCGGTTGAGCCTACTTAGAATCTTCCAATTTCCCTCTGTAAAGGTAAACATCAGTGTGCCTATCCCATAGCCTCTGTTGTTTCTAGTGATCGTTTATCCTATAGATCTTGTCTCTTTGTTTCTACTATTAACTCCATATTAATTCCTAAATCTCTTTCTGAGGCACTTTCTCATTTTGGTTAGCGTGCTACTATGATTGATGAGATGAACACACTAGACTTAAATGGCACATGGGAGTTGGTTCCTTTACCAGAAAGCAAAAAGTCGATTGGTTGTCGTTGGGTTTTTGTAGTGAAGTTCTATTTTGATGGCTTTATTGCTCGCCTCAAGGCGCGTCTTATGGCTAAAGATTATGCTCAAACTTATGGTGTGGCGCCAAGTTGACCTCTGTTCGCATATTGATTTCTTTGGCTGCTAGCCATAATTGGTTGTTGTGGCAATTAGATGTGAAGAATGCCTTCTTATATGGCGAACTAGTCAAGGAAGTGTATTTGGAGCAACCTCCTGGGTTTGTTGCTCATAGAGAGTTCGGAAAAGTATGCCGTTTGTTAAAGTCCTTATATGGATAGAAGCAAAGTCCTCAGGCGTGGTTAGCAAATTTAGCCACACGATTAAGACTTTTAGGATGATGAAGTGCAAATCCGACCATTCTGTATTTTATCGTTGTACAAATTCTAACATAACTCTTCTTGTAGTATATGTGGATGACATTATTATCACTGATAGTGATACGAGAGTGAATCTTAACTTTAAAGAAATTCATCCACTCACAATTTTAGACTAAAGATCTTGGTGAGGTACGATTTTAAAGAATGGCGCTTCTCTCTTAGCGAACTGTGTTTGATTTGTTGACTGAAATAGAAAAATTAGGAGCTAAACCATATATTGCCCTATGACACCAAACCAAATATTTAGGAAGGAACAACTTTTGAGGAGCTTGAAAGATATCGAAGACTAGTAGGCAAAGTAAATTATCATACTGTAACCCGACTAGACATAGCATTCCGTTAGTGTGGTAAGTCAATTCATGAGTGCACCTACAATCCAACATTGGGAGGTTTTGGAACAAATTTTGGGGTACTTGAAGGGTACTCTAGGACAGGGGTTGTTATACAAGGACTATAGGCGATCATATTGAGTGTTTTTATGATGTTGATTAGGAAGACTTTAAATTTAATCGTAGGTCAACATCTGGATATCGTGTATTTGTGGGCGGCAATCTAATTTCATGGAAAAGCAAGACTGTGGTATCCGGATCAAGTGCTGAA